TTACATGTTGACATAAATGTCAGATATTGAGCTCTGAAACAAGCCACATACATTCACCATACCATTTTTCTCTTTTTTTCACAGGTATCCAGAAGCGAGAGGCTCTCAACTGCCACAAGATTCTCCACTTTGAGAACAAGTTTGTGGTGGAGACGCTTATCTGTGAGCTGTAGGGGGGGTGAAGACAGCTGGGTAACAAGATAAAACCACTTTTGACAAATTCCACTCTGACCCTTCCTCTCCTTCCATTAAACCTCTTCCCGTTTCCCCCGTTTGTGTGCGTGTGCGTGGGAGTGTGTGCTGCTCTCAGATTTGTTTCTCTGTATAGCAACAATCAATATTACAGAGAGAGAATGAGACTGAATGCCAAGAACAATATAATGCGTAGAAACATTTGTGTGTAGGCAAAGATTTGGACCAGTTTCTCTCTCTTTGTAAAAATGTTTCTGTGTCTGGGTTTCTGTTAAGCGGGCAGTTTAAAGTCTCCAACAGGGTGTGTGGGGTGTAATGTATGAAAATAACTAGTACCAAGTTGACCATGGGAGAGGGAAGGACTCGCAGAGGATAAATGTACAATGAAATCTATAAAAGATGCACTACATGTTTAGTGTACATTTAAAACTGTGAACTGTCACAGATACCAGATTATATACTGGAAAATATATTTGGCTAGAGATTTGTGATATATGGCCAATTATCACATGTAGGAAATACACATAGAATTGATTTTTGTACTAGTTAATCTTTAGTCTAGATTTTTATTTTAAATGACAGATTTTGCTCTGCTGTAAGCTAATACACTGCTAAAACATCCTATAGTAATCTAGAGGATGCAAAACATTTTTTTTAAATCTTAAATATCAAAAAGCGTTAAAATGTCAAATTGCAGACTAATAAAATGTTAACTATTATGTCATTTAGGGGCTGCTGAGGTGTTGGGGGTAGACTGATGGATGAACTATGTAAAGGTTGTTTAAATTTACTAAAATGTCTACAAAGTTCAACATGAGTTGGAATGATTTATACTTTGCACATAACCCAAAAGGTTTTAATGTTAAACATATTAATACTAATAAAAATTTGACCACTCAGTTTGCTCATCTTCATTTCTGCTTTTTCTTAAGAAGAAAATCTTGATGTAGTTGTATAACTCAGTTATTTTAGTGTAACTGAAATACTATTATAGTTTTTATTAGTATTTTGAGTTTTATATTTTCTGTTTTCATATTAATTTTAAAGTTTTAGTAATTTTGTCATTCTTCTTTTCCTTTTTTTTTTCTTTAATGTGCCTATGTAGTTTAATGTTTCAGTTTTAGTTTAGTACCTAAATGAAATCTAAATGAAAATGAGAAATGTTGCCTTGGTGACTAGCAGAAATTAATATCATGGTTTATGCATAAATATTAAGCAGCACAACTGTTTTCAACGTTAATAAGAAATGTTTCTTGAGCACCAAGATCAGCATTTTAGAATGATTTCTGAAGGATAATGTGACACTGATGACTGGAGTATGATGCTGAAAATTCAGCTTTGCATCACAGGATTAAATTACATTTTAAAATGTTACAATAGAAAACAGTTCTTTTAAACTGCAATGCTATTTCCACATTACTGTATTTTTGAGTGGATAGATGCAGCCTTTGTGAGCATAACAGACTTCAATAAAACATTTTAAAATGTATGCATATATGTGTGTGTGTGTGTGTACTCATTATATATACACACGAGATGCTGTGCCAGGAAGTGAATGCTTCCAACATAATTTTCTTCAATAAAAGTGCTTCACTATATTTAATATTCTGAATATTACACATTTTACTGACAGATTTATGTAAATGTCAATAAGGTGCAGAAAAGTAAGGCCTTGGAATGGCATTGCACATTAGTAAAAAAATATATTCTCATTTATGTTTATATTTTTATTTGAAATGCAATTTTTAAAGACATATTTCTATATAACCACTTCTAATTTCACTTAAAGGTGGGGTAAGCAATTTCTGGTAGCCAATGTTGATATTTCAAATCACCAAAACAAACACGCCCCTACCCCAAAAGGGTCTCGCCCCTATTTTGATAGCTCCGCCCCACACATACGTACGCAACCCAGGCAACGATTAGTTCTGTGAAACAAAGCAAAACCAATGTTACACCGGAAGCGAGCGGCATGGTGCGGCCCGACAAAATTCTATATAACTCCTTATAATCAGTGATGCTGTCTACACTGGATGCCGCGCGGCACGACAAATCCCCGACAGAAAATTGTTGCTGCGTTCTATTTATGACGTCCAGCTGTCGCGGCGCGAGACACGGTGTTACTCACCTATCGAGAGAAACAAAGCAAACTCGGCGTCCGATCGCAGGCCTTCCGCTCCTTGAGTTCTCTCCAGCGCTGGAAAGCTGATGCGATATTTACACGGGTCCTACTTCTTGCCTTATCGTAAGCCTTCCTTTGTTCCGCAGATGGTTTCCTCTTGTTTTTTTTTTTAATCCGCCATCTCTATCTTTCTGTCACTTTGCTCAGCTAATGTCCATCCTGTGCACTAAGCGCTCTCTCCTCCGCATCATGAGTAGACACGCCCCTTACTGCTGATTGGCTACAAGTTTGTTTTGGTACTCGCCCGACTCAGTTTTCTAAAGTTTTTGAAAAAATACATACCCCACCTTTAATATAAAACCCTAGAGTAAAACTACTAAAGTTCTCTTTACCTAATGCCGAGTTCACACTGCACGATTTTAGCCCGATTTTTCACTCGCCGACAGGTTTTGCGAAATCGCTGACAA